GGGATGTTTCTCAGTAAAGGTTCAGGTGTTTGAAGCAGGGATGTTTCACAGTAAAGGTTCAGGTGTTTGAAGCAGGGATGTTTCACAGTAAAGGTTCAGGTGTTTGAAGCAGGGATGTTTCACAGTAAAGGTACATGTTGGAGCTCACTAACGGGGTTTCTCTCAGTATTTCAGACTGTCAGCTTTTCTTCTGACAGGAAACAAACTGTTAGTGCTCACATCTGTTTTATTAAGAGTTAAAATCAGTTTTATCAGCAGAGAAGAGTTTCTGTTCCTCGCTCCTGTTTAAATTCATTAAGTGACAGATTCTAAAGGTTTTATTGGTAAAGTTTATTTTTGTGCTCATTTCAAAAGTTAAAACTTGTTTTCATAGGAGCTGAAAATCACATCAGGCCTGGTGTTTTAAGGCCCTGCAGTTTGAACAGGTCCATGTCAGCCTGTTTGCTGTGGAACGCTTTGGGTCAGCAGTGGGAATCAAACCTTTACCTCAGCAGCATCACTCGGTACTGYTCCACATCTCTGTTTCTGCCTCACAGAGCTGAGTTCTCCTCAGAGAGAGAGGATAATGATGGAAATAATAATGACGGTCAGATTATTAGTATTAAACTTGTTTTCTTTTGTTTACCTGCTCCATGTAACACTTGTTGGACTCCAMCAGTTCACATGTCTTTTATGTTCAGATAAAAAGGACAAACCATAAAGACTTGTCTGGTCGTGACGACCTGTTTCCCTCCAGTTGTCTGTGTCCTCGGCCTCGGCCTGCGTTCATGGAGTGAAACTGTTGTTCTACTCGTGCCTTTCTGTGTGTTCAGCCTGCAGAGGCTCCTGGTGCTCTCTGCAGGACTTCTCTTTGCTCGTCACCTTTCATCCTCCTGTCTGTCCTTTCCTGCGTCTGAAGCTCTTCGTGCCTTTCTCTGTGTCTTCTCTCTCTTTGCTGGGACCGTGTGTTGAGGCCGGACACAACGTCTGACCCACCTGTGTGGTTAGTTTCAGGTACTACATTGAATTTAATGATATAATATAAATATAGTGAAACAATCAGCGTGGTGTGTGGTGTTTTATTTGTCTCTTTGCTCTGATGAAACTGGGTTTAAATGTTTTATAAAGCAGTTAAAACACGTTAGACATGATACAAATRTGAATATTTCAAACCTAAGTTTAACAGACTGTTCATCAGTTTAAATCATTTATTTAATGTATTTATGTGGACTGTAAGTTGTATTTAGGTTCTTTTATCACAAAGGTTTCTGATTTCTTCACCCAAAACAACAGAATGGCTTGATGACGTAATTAGCTGTGAGACAGGATTGTTTTTATTTTTATTTTTTATTTTTTGTGGATGTTGATTTGAACCAATGAGAGATCAGGTCGGGAACTCTGTCCAATCAGAATTTAGAATGACGTTCAGGCGCTCGCACTACGAGTTTTCTCTGGTAACTCAGTGGATTTAAAACTACTTAAAGTATAAAAGTAAAAGTAATGAACACTTAAAAAGCCATTAAGGATTAAAGCTTAGGCTGTGCCACCATAAAGCAGAACCCTCCAGTTTTTCTTCTAAAGTCAACGAGTATAATGTTAAATTAAAATGTTAATGTTAAAAAATTTGGAATTAACTGACCAGACTAGTTGTTTGAGCCACAATCATCTTCATTCTGTGCTACATCTGCTACTCTGTGCTTCATGTATCTGGATAGATTTCTATTTTTCTGAACAATGAAAAGATGGAATAAAAACAAGTCAAAGTTAAATAGAAATAAAATACTTTTTGCATTTTTAAAAAGTAAGGAGCAGAAAGTACAGATAACTGATTAAAATGTAAGGAGTAGAAGTAAAAAGGCTGAAAAATAATTACTCCACTAAAACAAATAACCAAAGTTACTACTCAAAGTAACAAAGTATTTGTACTTAGTTAGCCGACAGCTCCGTTAGCCACCCGCCTCTTCCTGTCAGGTCACTGGTGTCCATGTCCAGCAGTCCCTGTGAGAAGGGCGGGGACAACCTGGACAGGTGTCCTGTCCATCACAGGGACACAGACAACCATTCAGTGTCTTCCCCTCAGTGTGGGACAGTTTGGAGTTACCCATCAGCCTTACAGTCTGTGGGAGGAAGCTGTCCTACCCAGAGAAAACCCACACATGCACAGAGAGAACATGCATACTCTACCCAGAAAGGTCCTTGGCCAGGATTCAATCCAGCAACCTTCTTGCTGAGAGGCAACAGCTGTACCAGCTGAGCCACCTCACCTGCATTAAATATTCATACACACAAATAAAAGCTCAATAATAAAGTTTAATTTATGATGTTTTAAATTTGATCTTAATGTGAGGAAACCTCTTTAACACCTGGAGTTTCTCTGACTAAAACCCTCAAACTCAATGAAACGGTTTCATTTAAACTTTATTTAAAACATTTCTACATCACATTAACCATGGTCATGACACATAAAGGACTGGATTAAGATATTCTCAGGAGTTGTCAGTAAAATCAAATAAAACGTGGGTGTCTCATGATGTCAGACACTTACAAATGTTTCAAAACAAGTCAGAATCTGACACCTGCAAGCATGAAGTCGTCTCTTGTTAATCTGGATTGACTGATCTGGGTTTGTTAATTTAGTGTTTCCAATCTGTGGCTCCATCAGATGTTTCTCCTGGTTTGTCTGTGAAAAGTAGGAGGTTCTCAGCAGGTGAGCATAAAGCTGAGCAGCAGAATAAACAGATTATTTTTATGCTAAAAGCTGCACCAGAATAGTCCTGGTCCTCAGGAGGAACCCTGCTGACATTCTGCTATTAAAATCATGATGTTAATTCAGCAGATTAAATCATTAAAATCATGTTAATTTAGCAGATTAAATCATTAAAATCATGATAATTCATCAGATTAAATCATTAAAATCATGATATTAATTCATCAGATTAAATCATTAAAATCATGATGTTAATTCATCAGATTAAATCATTAAAATCATGATATTAATTCATCAGACTAAATCATTAAAATCATGATGTTAATTCATCAGATTAAATCATTAAAATCATGATATTAATTCATCAGACTAAATCATTAAAAACATGATGTTAATTCATCAGATTAAATCATTAAAATCATGATATTAATTCATCAGACTAAATCATTAAAAACATG